TGCAGAGTCGCTCCCTCCAGTCAGCATAGACCTTCACACTGTACCTCTTCTGCCAGGTGAAGAACTGCTGATAGCGGCTGGTGTTCATGGTCTTCAGGAAAGTGGCCAGCTCTGCCAGGGAACCGAAGTCATCGACGTGGATGAAGGAGTCTGCAGGAATGAACTGCTCGTAGTTGGCCCGGGGAGGCCCCAGCACGACGGGCACGGTGCCGGCCATCAGCGAGTTCCTCCAGAGCTTCTCGGTGATGTAGTCCTGGTGGATGGAATTCTCAAAGGCCAGGTAGAACTTGGACTTGGACGTCATTGGCAAGAGGCAGTCCTTGCAAAGGGGCTTTTTGTTTGCTTTCCCGTATATGTTCACGTGGAGGTACTTGGAGAGGTTTTTGTAGACTTCAGCTCTTTTCTGAGTCCTGTGGTAGTTGCTGATAACCCAGGACACCAAGTTGGTCTTCGTGGGGATGTTGACTGTGGCTGACCGGTTGGGCACAAGCTTGCCATAGGGCATGAAGATGTCCGAGTCCCGTCTGTAGGTCATCACCCAGTTGAAGGTGTGTTTCCATCCTGCTAGAGCTTTGGTGTTGGAGGGGGACTCCAGGGAGACCCACACCCAGTTCTGCCCCGGTGGCCTCTCCTTGGGCAGTGTATCCCTGCCAGACTGCAGCCTGGTGTGGGGGAACACCACCACGTCTGCCCGGCCCAGGAGCTGCCGGTCCATGGTAAGCCAGCAGCCCGTGATGCCGTACAGCTCATGGCAAACGATACAGCTCATGGCAAACGGTCCTGCTGATGTTGGGGACCTGCTTCGAGGGCCATTCCCACACCAGGACCACCAGCGGCTCAGTGTGCTTGGGGGCTTCTCCAGAGACCCTGAAGGGGTGGAGGAAGAACCTCAGGTTCCAGAGGATGGTTACAAACACCCCGGCAGTGACCACGACCTTCACACTGGGACGGCCCCATGGCAGCCGTGGTAGCGGGGATGCCCGGGGCACACCCCACGGCAGCCGTGGTAGCGGGGATGCCCGGGGCCCACCCCATGGCAGCCGTGGCAGCGGCAATGCCTGGGGCATGCTGCTGGGCTGGCTGTCACCTTCTTGGATGACAGAGCTGACACCTGGTAGAGAGGAGAGACCACCAAGGGCTGTCAGCTCAGCTTGCTGGGGGCGAGAGGTGGTGGAGAGGCACTGGGGCCAGAGGGGATGGAAGAAAGGGCTTCTCCATGAAACCTGAGCCCCAGCATAACCATTGACCTCCTGCCCGTTCCTTGCCCTGTCCCCCATTCACCTGGTGTCACCCCACAGTGGCTTTTGTGTCACCCTGCCGCGGTCCCCAGTGTCCCCATCTCTGGGGTGAGCAGAGATGCTGCCAAAGGGAGGTACAGAGCCAATGGG